TTCCAGTAATGACTGCCTGAAAAACTTCGGATGGAAAGTGTCTAAAGAGTAACTTGAGTCCTGCTGATCTTAACATGATGATCAACTGCTTCATATGAACCTGCAGTGCCTCTTGATAAGAACACTGGGAACCCTTCACATGGCCCCTGAAGTCATAGAATCCTAGACTGGTTTGGGTTGGAAAGGGTCTTCAAGATCATCTAGTTCCAAGCCCCCTGCATGGACAGAGACACGTCCCACCAGCCCAGGCTGCTCCAAGCCCCATCCAACCTGTCCTTCAACACTTCCAGGGATGGGGCAGCCACAGCTTCTCCGGGCAGCCTGGGCCAAGGTCTCACCACCCTCACACTAAAGAATTTCTTCCTCATGTCCAACCTCAGTTTCCCCTCTTTCAGTTGTAATCCATTCCCCCTTGTCCTCTCACTACAAGCCCCATGCAACTCTGTGTAAGACAGAAGAAACACCAGTCACTTCAATCCACCAATCACCAATCCACTTCAAGCTAAGCTGGCCAGGTTACAAATCCTTACTACTACAACTCTCCTGAAGACCCAAGACAACTCAAATCAAAATGGTTTAAACACTGGCAGAGCATTACAGGAGTCAAGTGCCATCAGTAGAAAACTCAAGCTGAAGGTATGTTCAACTGAAGTGAGTTCTTGCAGTTTCCAAACTTCTGAACTGACACAGGAAGAAAATTTCTACTAGAAGCCTGATTTTCATCCTTCAAAAAGCACACCTAAGGCAGCGTTGGAGACCCTGCATGTTCTGAACACCTCAAACGAAAGCAACATTAATCACACTATAGCAGCGACTTACAGAAGCGACGAATGACTCAAGACTTCCCAGAGTTGAAAGCAACATTAATCACACTATAGCAGCGACGAGTGACTCAAGACTTCCCAGAGTCTGAGACCAGCACTTTGCTCAGATGAGAAACAGAAGCTCTTTCCATCAACAGTTACTAGCAAAAAATCCCTGCCTTGAAGGAAAGACTACTTGTGCCCCAAACCAGTGGCACAACCTGAAGACTACTCAGACTGGGCCCTGGTTAATGCGGTAACAAGTCTTGCTAAATGGAAACAAGATTTATTTTCAATGTTTTAAAGAAAAGCTAAATTTCCTCAATCATAAGCAACCACAGAGTTGGGGTGTTCAGCCTGGAGGAGAGAAGGCTCCAGGGAGACCTCAGAGCACCTTCCAGTGCCTGAAGGGGCTTCAGGAAAGCTGGGGAAGGGCTTTTCACCAGAGAGGGCAGGGGGACAGGACAAGGGGGAATAGTTTTAAACTGGAAGAGGGGAGATTTAGGTTAGACATCAGGAAGAAATTCTTCACCATGAGGGTGAAGTAAGGTGCTGGAATAGGTAGCTCAGGGAGGTTGTGGATGGTGTTCACGGCCAGGCTGGATGAGGCCTGTGCAGCCTTGTCTAGTGTGAGGTATCCTTGCTCATAGCAGGGAGGTTGGAACCTGATGGTCTTTAAGGTCCGTTCCAACCTTCACCATTTTATGATTAAATAAACAACAGAAAAGACCTTGACCTGAATATAAAGGAAACAACAGAACAACTGCAAGTGCCTTGAAGAGCTAAATGACCCACATTTCCAAATATTCCACAGAATTAAAACTACATCCATGTATAAGATATACTTGTGCATTCAAATTCCCTAACTAATGAGATGCCTTTACAGCATCAGAAGAGTTAAGATATTTGCTTCTTTCTTTGACAAGTTCACTAAGCCCTCAGCAACCTGCCCAGCATCCTTGGCTCACAGCACAGACCTCACACCCTACAAGCATCTCAGCTTCACTCCCACCAAGTGCAAGTGTGTGGCTTGTGGAACACAGCTTGAACTGCATCTCCCAACACTATGGGCCTGTACAGAAATAAATAACACTCATTTTAGTCCCTCACCACACCATGGTACTTCCCAAAACAAGGACAAAGTTTTCCACTTCATGCAGAAAAACAAGCTACAGGAAACAGGGTGGAACAGCAGCAGATTCCACTCATAGGAGGAGCAATATGACATGGCTCATACATTCATTTTTAGATGAATATTTTTGGTGGAATAATTTTACATCAGAATTCTTCTTCCAAGAATGACAAACACACAGAGCCCCCTTTCTTCATTTCACTCTCTCCAAAATCTCCAAAAATCTGGAAGACAACATTTAGAAGGAAATTCTCAGCTCAATTCAGCTAATAAAAACTGTCCCAAATAAGAAAACTTTTGATCTTAAAGTAGGCCCATGTTCAAGTTCCACTGCAGTCCTCACACAAACTTAAATTTTGTTTTGTTTTATTTCAGTTTTGAGGATTTTCTTGGGTGTGATTTTTTTTTTGACCTTTTTTTTTTAAACTAGGAGCTTTTTTCTTCCCTTTAATGACTACTACAAAAATATTTCATCCAGTGTTTTTGCAGTGAATTCCCTCACACCCAGATTATAATCTAGGATGAACAGTCCATCCCTTTGCAGAACCAGGTACTTTGGCTTTCTGAGAAAGACTCTTAAACCTCCATATTTTAAGCTTTTCAGTGTCATTTCTTTGATTCTTAAGAATTACATTTCCAGCTAAGACTATGAAAGCATCATATCTGGTTTTTTCCTAGTATATTAGCACTTAATTTTAATGCTTAGAGCAGCCACATACACGTTTCTGGTATATAAATTTAAGCTCCTTACAAGTTTGCTGACAGTGTATACAAAAAGCAACTGTACTACAGCCTTGGTTTCCTTAAATTAATCAGTTCCAAGATTCTAAGAAAATTTCACACTGGTCTAGAAGCAGCAAGTCCTCTCTTGTCCTTCCTACAAATTTCTAAGCAGCAAAATGATCCCATTTGTACAGAACAGAAATGGAAGGTACCCAGTGACCTTCAGTAGCAAAGTAAAGTGTTTTTGAGGCTTTGAAAATGCTCTGCAGATATCAGGAGGTGGGAGAAGGACCAGGTTCAGGAATCAGGACACAGTCTGCTAGGAAAGCTGGGTAATGTAACTAGAAGATAAGCACAAAAGGTGCCTGGGCATCCAGCTAGCAGCTGAGACAGGCTGGTTTCTCAAACCCTCCCTTTTCTGCTCTGTTTTTCAAATAAATCACTTCCCAGAACACTCAGGTCAATTACACACACCATTTTTATTAACGTTTGCATAATATTTGGATGCAATCACAGCTCTTCACTACTTACAACTTCTAAAAAGAACTGTGAGAATTTCTCTCCAAGTATTCAGCTCAGCAATCCACTTCAAATACCCTCCTGCCACATCCACACTTTGATTCAGTTGTCTCCAGTGCTCATCAGGTCATTTAGAGTTAACAAGATTACTCATGCTAATAAAAATCCTGAATCAGAACTTTACTAAGGTGCCCCTGGGATATGAAATTAAACTAATCATTTGCAGGTCTACTAAACAAAGAAAAACCCCTCTAAAACCAAGTGCAAAGCCTGGGCTTT